CTGTGCTGTATTTTGCATTTACCAGGACTCATGACATTTATTAATCACCGGAGTCTGACACAGATAACTGAAAATGTTTGCGGCTGTAAAGCCTCAGTGTTTGTGGCTTTAAAGGAGTACTTTCCATTCCTGTAGAAGTACACACACACACACACACACACACACTCTCCAATCATATGATTTACAATTATTACCAATATGGAATGATTGCATTAAAGCCACAAATGAGTTATGCAAGTTATTACAAGCAAGCACAAATAAAAGCTTTTACATCCCAATTTACCCCCCTCCCCCCAAAAAAATACACTTAAAGAAAACTATTAGCAAAATTTTACAAAAAGTTTGAAAAATATTTAATGGCCTACCCCTCCATCTGTAAAGCCAAGTGTCTTTGTTCAATATGAGGCCAAACCTATTATATTAGATTAGGCAAAAATTCATCTTTGCAAGTTTTCTTTTTTGCTTTTTGTTTGTTTGCTTTTTAAACTAGAAAGACAAAAAACCCCACATTTTAGAGGAGGACAATCACTTTGTGTTAGGTCAATTATTTTTTAAAGAAAGCAATTTTTAAGGTTGCTCAGGGAGTTTAGAATATGGAAGTATTATTTCCACAGAAAATGATTCCATAGCTGGAAAGTAGAAGAATGGGTCGGGGGGAGGTGGCCTCTAGTTTTAACATGACTGGCACATCTATAGAGTCTTTAGGGGACTATGCCAGATGTCGAGTTAACCATGCCTATACGCATCTAAAGCTTAGCTGCTTTCCTTAAAATGACCACTGCATATTCTGTTACAGTTTAAAGTCCTGATCCTGCTATTACCACAGTACAGGCCAAGACAACCAGGAGATAATTGGCGGACTAAATCTAAATTCATAGGTTGATGCCATACTACTCCTGTAAGTTTTTTTTCCAAGAAAGATTGCTGGCGATTGCTAACTCCAGGCAAAATCTTTTTAATTTTTCTTTTTATGCTACTTTTATTCAAGATAGGCAATTAACCCCCCTCCTTCCTGTTAATAATTTCACCTCCATCCTACAGGTAATCTTGAAAGAGAATTCAAAGTATTAGGCATAAAATAAGCAGTATCAAAAGCTCCCTCCCTTCACTCTACAAAGCTGGAGTTTTCCCACTTCAGCTTAAATAAAACTAACTCAAATACAAAAATGCATAAATCCTTTTTCCCCCTAAACAGGCTTCGGCAACATACCCTAAAAGTCATCAAACTGAGGTTATTTCTGATTTGTCTCAGGATTGGGAATAAATTGTAATTGTGTTTTAGGCAAATATGAAGCCATTTGGCTTTTGTAGGTCGTAATCAATACCCTAAAATCCACCTAGAACCCACCAGACAGTCAATGCAAATTCTGAAACACTGGTGCCAGTAGTAATAGATTCTGCCGCTTTATTGCAGCTTCTGTAGCATGACAGCATGATCATTTCCACTTCTATGAGCTCTGTAGCAGAAAAGTATGGGCAGTCTGAGCTGACTGCACTCTCCAGCCACCCTGGATAACTGCTCTGAGCGCTTGAGGACTCCTCAAACCCCTAAATTACCTTACTGGCTCTCCCCACTTAGGGAAGGACTCCAGGGAATCCTGAGGCACCTCTTCACAAGTGGGGAAATCACTGCTCCTCACTTAGAGACTCATCCACAACTGCCAGGAGAGGGTCTCCTGAAGCAGGGGAAGCCCACAATGGTTCTGGCAAGGAGGGACAGGACCCAGAGGATCCCCAGTGCCCCATGCCTCCCTGTGGGGACCTGCACACGTAGTTCTACCCTTGAATCTCTTGGGACTACCTGGATAAGCAGGGAAAAAGTGGGGCTGGAGATCCCAGAGGCAGGTCTGAGTGGGCAGAGGAAGCTCCACTCCTAGGATCTCCGGGGGCCAGTTTGGGTAAGTGGGGCCTACACTGCTTGCCCAACCTCACCTCCAGAGATTGCACTGCCCCTTGTCAACTGGCAGAAAAAGGGGTGACACGTAGTGTGACTTTTGAGCAGAACACCTCTTGCGATGTGATGATCTAGCAGAAGGGAACAGTAGAACAGGACCCCAAACAGAAAGCTCAAGAGACACAAGGTGTGCATACCACCAGAGGCTAAGTCTGCCATCTCCTCCTTAAACAAATCACCTATCTTCTGGACAGTATCTCAGCCTGCCAGATCCTATCCTTGCCACAATCAATATCATACATGCAGGAAGATGACAAACTGCACCCTCCAGGAAACAGAAGATAAATTCAGTATCTTAGGAATGTGGGGGTCACTATGACCAATACCTCCTCAGTCTGAACAAGGAGCTGAAAAACCTGCTAATATGAGTAATGAACTGAAGTTGAACATGAATGAGTCAGGAGAGTCCAAGGGCAACTATGTATCACTACCTTCTTAAAGCTCAGAGGAACCACATGGGTCATAAAAGATTAACAAAAAAAAGCATATCCTGATATTATCAACCTCTCCCACAAATCTTTCTTCTAACATAATAGCTGCTGTCTGCCAATCACTATCCAGTGCCCTGCCCTGTGCCCTCATCGAAACAATGTCGGTGAAATTAAACTAAAACTACACACCAAAATGAATGATCAAAGGAACAAAATTAAAAAGACAGACACAATCATGTGTACGAGAACACTTTTCACAGAACAGCCACACGCTTTCTGGCCTCACCATCTTTGTGGTTAAGGGAAATTTTTAGAACACCTTCAAAAAGGCAAGGAACAAACATTCATACATTGAATAAGGACTGAACACTGATATCGATACTTCATGACATATTACAATCTACCTGAAGTTTATTATCTGATCACTATACAGGCAGAAAAAAAATGAAAGCACTTTATCACTGGTAGGGGGAGGTTCCTACTTTTTGCAAAAGATATGCAATACCTGCATTGAGCCCTGCTGGATTCTAAGATACAAATCCTGATATGTTCTCAGGCTTTTCTATACAGAACAGGCTTTGCCAATAAGAAAGCTTAATACACTAAATGATGTAGCTGTAAGGGTCCAGGAAATACGCCAGAGGCAAAGATTTCAGTGGGTGATCTCTTTCATTGGATCAACTGCAAGCATTCCTCTTCAGGTCAGAGGCAGAAGCAGGCATAGTGAAAGATTAAAAAGTTTGCAGGCCTGTGAAACTCCAGAAGAGGAGTTCCCAGGGGCAGCAGACAGGCAAATTACAGAAGAAATGATAGCTTGATTAGAGGAAGTCTAGGACCTTTCAAAACGGAAAGAGTTATTACTTGCAGTGTGATGAAAGATTTTCTGGAGTCAGGTAGATTATATGCCACTAAATCAATATCAGTGTTAAGGCCTTGGGTTTTAGTCCAGCCAAGTTTATGAATTTTTGCTCCCAGGCTCATGTTTGGAAGGTGTTTTGTAAAATTCCTTTGAGCATGCAAGACAGCACGGTCAGAAAGTGAGCAACTGTTCTGTGATAAAGTGTTCTCCCACATGTGATCGTGTATCTCTAATTTTGTTCCTGTGATCTTTGTTTTCCTGATGCATAGTTTTAGTATTGTTTCAGGCACACAGTTTCCATGAGAGCATCTGGTGCAATGAACGACAGCTACACAAGCCTCTCTCAAAGTGTGATATGAGTTTTGAATTCTGATGTAAGGGGAGGAAAGGGTGTTGAAAAACCATGTTTCAGATGCAGTGGTCCGGGGTGTCATGCATTAGTTTTACACCCAGGGGCCAGTATTAAAAAGCAATGTAAATCACACATAAAAGAAAAATGTAATATTCTCCAAATAAATGAGAAATGTATACCTGCCCAAAAGAAAAAGGGGCTATCACTCAATTTGGTAAAACTGGCAACCTCTGAAAACAATGCACAAACAGGGTGGGATCAGGCATGTTTATTGAGGAAATATTAGTACAGCAACTACATGGGAAGTTTGCATGGTGTCTGCCCAAAATGTGCTTCGCTTTAGTCAGTGGTAAAACTTTTCACTAAAGAGCAGGCGAACTACAAGTAAGTCAGGTTAGGATAAAGAAGGTGTACTTAACAAGATACAGCTCTTTTTCACGACTATAAAATATTCAAATTCACAATGTAACCTATGTCCCCAAATTTTCAATTGCTATAAAGCATCAAGCTACAAAATGTGTCAACTAGATCCTGGAATACCAGTAGTGAATACTAAGGATATTAAGTAAAAAACATGTAAATATCATTTTAATTAACCTATATAAGAAGTTATTTTAGATGCAAAGCAGGAAGTGAGCAGATGAGAAACAAGTAAGGAAAAAATTAATCTTGTTTAAATAACTACCGCAGTGTTGTTAGCTTGGTGACGAAAAGTTTTTTAATTGAAAAGGCTAGACAATATAAGCATAATATTTGTACGAGAGATAAATTACATGCATGATATATATTCTCTTAATAATTTATTCAGATACTTAGAGGGGTATCCCAATCTAAAAAGAAGAGGATGAGTTGGAAACACTCTCTAGTAGTGTGTTCATTTTTTTTTTTTTTTTAATCTTACCTGGTTCTTTAGAGCTCTTTATTGCAACTGAATCTACCTCTACTGATTTTGGTCTAAGCGGTAATTGTTCAGAATCTAACTTTGGCTTCAGTACTGGCTCAATGTCAGACTTCGGTCGAAGGGAAACCACATCCCCATTAGGTCTGTAATGAGAAAAAGAGGTCCAGTCTAAACACAACATAACATAATAAAACCGTGTTGAGGATTACAAGCAAAAAGGGACAATTTTCAGTAGAACACTATTTTTTGAAAACCTAGTTTCAACATTTTTTTCAGATTGCTTTTTAGACTCGGATACATGTGAAAAGGTATGAACAAGTTGCCACAAGACAATGTAGGGTGTGATTTTACAGTATGTTAGCTATTCTGTGATAACTATCCAGGGGCACAATCTTACTCTATGGTAACTGTCAAATGCGTTGTACCACTTCCATTGAGCAATAACCTATGACACATTTGCTATGACAGTAAGAGCCTCATAGGTGCAGTTATCACAGACCAAATGACATGCTGTAGAGTTCACGCCCTAGTTTGGCTTGTGGCAACTAGTTTGTTTGCCCATATCAACAGAACTACTTGTATCTTAATATGTTTACTTCTCTTTGATACTCTGGGCCAAAGCACTCTGTATAAACTAATTGAAACCCTCTGCCCGAGGGGTGGGAAAAAGGGTACACTGCAAAACAACGCTGCAGTGCAACACGAGAAAAGGGCATTGAATAGCACCTTTAAATTCTTTCTGCGCTTGAAAGTTATTCGGAGGTAAGTTTTAAAGCTCCCAATCCCTCATAACCTTTTGGTAAAAATTTTCATAATGGACTTTCAATTATATTTACCTTTCTAATTTCACCCTTTCTAACAATAGAGAAAGAAGATAAAGGAAGTCAGTTAAATGTATTCACTACATGTGCTTAAAAATAAAGGAAAATATACTGACTTGGACACAGGAGGTGGCAACACTGGTTTATCTGGTCGTTTCGGATGTAAAATCGCTGCTCTCAGTAAGTTATTAGATTTGCCAGGAGGAATAGGTTTCTTGGGTGGTACTTGGGGAGCTACTGGCTTAGAAGGCTTCTGTTCCACAGCTGCTTTGTCATCTGACAAAATAAGGCATCAGGATAATGTTTAACAGACATTTACAGTAACCTCTAATTTCGACTAGCATTTCATCACAAATGGCTCCTTGCGAGCAGCAGGAGACATTCAGAAGACTTTACACTGCATCTCTGAAGCACTCATTTTTCTAATCTACACATGCAAAATTATATACCTGAACATAAACATTAAAGAAATGTCTTCATCAACATTTTTGGTAATAGTGGGTCAAGAGCAACTAATGTGGACCAACAGTAAGAAACTCCGTACAAAATAAATTACCGCATTGCAGATGACAGCCGCTGCAGTGACACGTGGAGAGGAGAGTATCCTTTTTACCTCTAGCACCTATCCTATCCAGTTATTCCTCATTTCTGCCCTTATGCCTATCTGTATTTTTTCATGTTGTCAGCAAAGTACAGTAGAAGTAATCTCTGGAGGATGGCTTCTGTTTGAATTTAGGCTTAAGTTTTTTTGGAATAAGGACCCTAAATTCTCACACACACATACACACACACACACACACGAATGGCACTAGTTGGATACAAACATATTTGTGAAACTTAAAAGGACAACTAAACTTCCACTGCCCACGTGCTTCAGGTCTGCGTACACCAAATGGGCATATGAAGTGGTGACACCATGCCAAGGACAACCCCTCTGGCATACAGCAACAGCAGACAGTGCCCTCCAAGGTCTGCCTCATTTCCAGGTATGGCACACGCTATTCTGCAGCATGCTCAAAAGCATGGCAAAGTGGCATACACATAATTTAAGTGATTTATTGAAGCCCACAGGCAGACAGAATTAAAACTGGGTTCTGAATACCCTAACACAGAGGCTTCGCAGAACAATAAAATGTTTTGGTTTTCTTTTGGTTTGTAGGCAACTAGTTACAGAATCAAACCCTACATAGCACATTTCAGGAAAGGTGTTCCAGGAGTTGGGGCATTTGCCTTGGGCACAGGAAACAGTGGTTCAATTCAGAGATTTCCTGCATCAGTCTGGACAATTCACTGATTCCGACCTCAGTTCTCTATCTGGAGAAAGGAGATGACAATGCTACATCTACAAAAGCATTGTGAAGATAAACACATTAAAGACCATGAAGAACCTAGGTAAAGGTCTCCAAAGAGGGAATTCACTACAAATCCTGCTTAGTTTTATTTCCAAAGACTCGTGATACTATAGTGGAAAGATGCAGTTTGCTAGCATCTCGTCTCCATCACTGTTTTTTTCATCCTGAGTGGTAGTATTGATATAATAGGACAGTAAACAGTTTAGCCACATGGTGGTGCTAAACAATCATAATTTCTTATTTTATAATTTTTATTTAAGGGCTACTAGAAACAAAAAGTGTTCAAAGTAGTTAGGTGATAATTCTCAATTAACATGATAATCTGATTTTTTTTACAATCAAAATTTGATATATACTTTCTCATCAAATAGCTTTAATACTTCGTATCGATTTTCTTTATTACAGGCCACCTCAACACAGGATTCAGACAATGTTGTAGGACAGCAGTCTGTGCTCTTATGGTCATTTTGGCATTCTTAATACAAAATGAAAAAAATAAAAGCTGGCTAAAAATAACTGCTGCATAACGGAAAGGAATACTGATGACATTTACATAGGGCAAAAAATTACCATAGATAAATAATGTCACTAAGTGCCATTTCACAAGTAGGCAAGGTTCTTTGGGTAGATGCAATATCTTTTATTAGACTTTAATAAAAGTTGTAAAGTTCTTTACAAGCTTTTGGGCACAAACACACACCCTTTGTCAGGCAATGGGGACTCATTTCCCCATTTCACTGAAGTGGTGGTGCTTTTAGCCTCTGTTAATCTATTCCCATTCAATTAGGTTGTCTCAGGTCTCTTGTGCTCTTTCGATAATATAGGTTACAGTTCAATACCTGTATTAGCCCAATAATAGAGTTTATTTCATGACAATTTAATATTCCACAGTAAGTGACGTCTAGTACTTACATTTTTTTCAGTAACAAAATACTATTTCTATTGAAATAAACAGGCTTTTAAAAGCCAAAAGGCGACCGTTATGAAGATTTATGCTAACCCCTGGCTAAATATAGGCACAGAATTTCACCTATTTCATTCGTTATTAATCAAAGGCATGGCTCTCTGCTTTACTTTTTAAAAGCAGGATTTAAGTTCCCCAAAATTTTAAAGATATTCAGTTTAATTTGTTTCCTGGAATATTCCTCTGTAACTATTGGACAGTAAATGTTAAAATTAATATTATAGCTATTAATAGAGTCAACCTAAAATGATATCACATATTGATTCACGTTTACTTTAAACAGGCAAAGGATCAAATTCAGCCCTAGCCTCTCTTCTTGCTTCAATTTAGGCAAAGACTCATCTTCCAGAAAGAAAAATAATTTGTTCTGTACTAACACTTTTGTAAGACTTTCATTTAGGCAGGCTTTTAGGAAGTGGGTTAAGTTTTGGGTATTCTTTGGGGTACTGTTTTAATGTTTTATTATTTTACCTGTTTTTACTGTAAGCCACTCTGAGCCTTTTTGGGGAGAACAGCATAAAAAAAAAATCAAATAAATAAATACAATAATAGCCAGAAGCAAGATGGCTAACTTTAACACACGTGGAATACTCAAGAATATATCTGTTAAAGTATATTATAAAAACAATGCAAGACAGAAAGAAAACAAAGTATGCTTCCTTCTACACATGCACTTCAAAATTGTTTCCTGACTACATTCAAAAGCCATGTTTTAATTATTTGTACAAAAAGATTATTATTATAAAGATGGTTAGGCTGTTACACTATTAGCATTTCTTCTTTCAAGCTACTTTCAGGAAGTAGATTTAAAGGAACCTGAGACTTTGCCATTTCTATCCGTCATGGTAAGCAACTTAACTATGAGCTGTTCTTTCCTTATTTGTGTGTGCAAAGCTAAGCCTTTTACAAGCATATTACATTTGGTTTGGACTATTAAATATTGTTTGAAATGTCAAGTTAATAAGTGAGCACAATTTTCAGTAGTTAAATGCAAATGAAATTTGGTCAGAGTTTAAAAGGGAGAGGGGACTGAATTGATTAGACATTCATAAATAGTAAAACTTTATTTCTAGAAGTCTAGAGTCATAATAGCCCGTCTACAAATTAATAATTCCAGAACATTGTTGTAGGAGTACCATTTGTATAGTTCCAGAAGAAATGGTATGAATCCATTCACATTTTTGATTGAAACATTCTATGTAAGATTACCTGACATTTTCATAAAGTTTATTTAAATAAACAAATATTATGGCTCATAATTACATAATTCATACTTTTTATAAAATTGCATTGAACCAAGTGGATACTGCAACTATAAAAAATTGTTACAGATACCCATATTCCCAAGCCTAAAAAATTTCTTGGAAGTATCCAGGGTTCAGAGAAAACACAGGGGAAACTAAATATTATATCATTTAAACAACTTCAGTTTAATTTTGCAACAAAGAAAACTAGTCTTACCTTTTTCTTCAGACCTATGAGAAATGAATTTCTTCTCTCCAGTTGGAAGGTCAGGCTTTGGAGCTGAATAAATAAAAAAAAACCCCAAGAGACATTTTTATAAACAGGTATAATTATCTTAGTCATTCTCTAAAAATATACAATTATCTGTATATATATATATGATCGTTTCCATCCAAGAAACTCAGTTAAGTCTATAGGCATTTATTTAAAATCAGAAAAATGTAGGTAAGTATTACAATATTTCTAAATTAGGATAGGAATGAGGTTTAGTCAACTGTGAGCTGAACAAGAGGAACAGTAGGATATGGAATGTGTTATTAGTTACTGTTCATTTAAAGTAGTTGTATTAGTCATAAATGCAAAGCTATATTTTAGTTTGGAAAGTAGATTCGAAAACTTATGCCAATAAAACCTTTTTTAATCAGCACAACATTCTGAATGCATGGTATCCACCACCCATGTTTATGTAGGTGCAATAAAATTAGAATACATTCCTTTTAAAAAAAAGGGTGCAAACACATTATTTCCCAGTTTTCCATGTCTGTGAGAAACTTCTACAATAGCCCATCATACTGGGTTTTATGCTTGAAGTTTGTACTTTTATAATGACACAGCTTTTATATTACCTGGGCCTTTAACAGGAGGTGGTGGTTTCTTTGGCTTCTGCAAAAAAAAAAAAAAAAAAAAAAAAAAGATGAAAAATAGTAGTATCTTTTACAGAAAGAGACTGCTATCTACTCATTGGCTTACACACAGGCAAACAGTACCTAACTCATAGGGCACCTATATACGTGCAGCGAGGCTGCTCTGACCCACTGTATTTACAGCGCATCAGAGCAGACGCGATTCATCAAGTCTGCGGGAGCGTGGTGATTACCATGCTCCAGCGTCTCGTGCATTAGTAACCCTGTGCTGAAGAGCTTCAAGGAGCTTTAGTTACTGTCCCTGCCGCCATTTTTTCAGCGTGGGGATGCTGATACACGAAGCACTTTAATTAGACCGGCTCTTGGAGCCTCTTTATAATTAAAATGCCCACCCTCTCCCTCCTCCCACAGCACGTGTATAAAACGCCCATACATTGCACTTTTCACCTCAAAAGTGGCTGACAAAGGAGGTCAGCACAAATAATTCTAATCTGCAGATGAAAAAAATGAGGAAGAGAAGCCCCAAAGCTATTTTCTTATCATATTTAATATTGACAATAAGTATAAAACATCACCTATACTATAACCAGGCAAGATGAGAAAGAACTATTAGATCAAATACTACCAGAAACTTTTTTTTTTTGTAAAATTAGAAGAAATAGTTTCTTTCTATAATTTCAGCTTTAAGTCACGAATGACTCTATGGGGGTTTTTTTTAAAAACACTCAAAGCGTGAGAACTCAAAACTGACCTAAAACTGAACCGTCTTGTCTGCTTATATTCAAGGAAAGAGAAAAGAACAGATTAAATCAGGAAGCCTAAATACTTTGAATTCAGAGGGTTAAAATATTTTATTTAAGTAAACTGAAGTATAGCCTCTTGCATAATTTCTTGACCACCATGGCTACAACATTATCTGAAAGAAACAAATTTGATAGGGGAGATGGTGTCATAGCTAACTGGTCACTTTCAGACTTCAACACCGACTTACAGAATAGGCTCGGCAGTGCTATCCTGGTTAGCGCTACAGATGAAAGGGACTTGGGGGTCATCACTGACCACAAGATGAACATGAGCCTTCAGAGTGATGCTGCAGCTAGTAAAGCAAGCAAAATGCTGGCTTGCATCCATAGATGTTTCTCAAGCAGATCCTGGGACACCATTCTCCCCTTGTACTGGGCTTTAGTGAGGCCGCAGCTGGAGTACTGCGTCCAGTTTTGGGCTCCACAATTCAAAACAGATGTGGAGAAGCTTGAGAGAGTCCAGAGGAGAGCCACGTGCATAATCAGAGGTCAGGAAAACAGACCTTATGATGAGAGGTTGAGAGCCATGGGACTCTTCAGCCTGGAGAAGCGCAGGCTCAGGGGTGATCTGGTGGCCACCTATAAGTTTATCAGGGGTGCTCACCAGGATCTGGGGGAACATCTGTTCACCAGAGCGCCCCAAGGGATGACAAGATTGAATGGTCACAAACTCCATCGTGACCGATTCAGGCTGGACATAAGGAAGAACTTCTTCACTGTCCGAGCCCCCAAGTTTTGGAATAGACTGCCGCCGGAGGTGGTTCAAGCACCTACTTTGAACACCTTCAAGACACATTTGGATGTTTATCTTGCTGGGATCCTATGATCCCTGCTGACTTCCTGCCCCTGGGGCAGGGGGCTGGACTCGATGATCCTCCCCACCCCAAATGTCTATGAAATCTATTAAATCTTTCTAACTATTCCACAAAGAAAAATGGGTTAAAGTTACCACTGATGCCCTTGATCATTAAAGCTGCACAACAGAAGATGGACTTCTGAACCAATCCACATTAAAGACCACAGCATGTGTGTACAGAAGTCTGTAGGAGGACTGAAACAAATCTGATTCAAAATGATTCCACCTTCTACATATGAAGGGTAGGATCTAGGCCATCAATTAGCAATCTTGATGTTCATATTCTGACCAATACAACATTCTATTTTTCCACACTGGTTTCAGTATTTTTAAAACTGGATCTAAAAATATAAAGTAATTTCACAGTACGGAATCAATACTGAAAGGTGTTTCTTGGTTAAAGATTTTCTAATAGTCTCTATGGGCACTGACAGATATGGAAAAAAAAAAAACCCTTTAAAACCCCCCAATGCTGTACCAGAAAAGGAAGCACGTTAGTTCAACCCAGCTCTCCAGGTCAGACTAGCACAATGCCTCTTCTAGGCATGTGCTGCGCTGAGTG